TAGAAAGCACGGAAAAGGGGAAAGGCCAAGACAAAAGCCAGACTCCCTAGTTTCGCTTAGTTGCCACCTCTGGCTATTCTAAAAGAAACTGCCTTTGAATTCCCCAAGGGGTTTGTTGTTCTTTTTTGTCATCCGGTGACCAGCTCCGGGTTTGCTGGCTCCTGGGAAATCCAGGGGATTTTGGAGAAGAAAATCTGGGGTGGTTTATAATTAAAAGGGAACTACAAAACCTGTTCTTTTATACCGGGTTAATGGTGGGATCCCTCACCTGGCAGGAACACAGCTAGGGGCAGGGAGCGTTCAGTAGCGGACATGACGGTCTGAAACCATCTATGCTCTCATCCTGCTGGCCTTAAAACACAAGGCACTAGTTTGGAGACCAGATGTCTGAGCAGGATTAGGGATGTGGTCTGGAGTTATGGCATAATATTTTTTTCCTCTGTGAATCTCATTGTGTCCTTAGCCTCTGGCTGTGCAAGCTACCAGATTTCCTTCTGGTATTGTGGGGCTGCGGCTGTTGGCTAGCTCTGGAATTTCATAAGGTTCCATGAAAAAAAGTCTGCCTCCCACCTGCCCCGGCAGAGTGCAGGCTGAGGCCACACCTGTGAAGAAGCACCCGGAGATTCCGCTGATGGAAGCCCACACGGGGTGTTAGAGAACGGTGGTATTCTGTTGGTGTGCTGTGGGAAGGGCTTGTTACTATGGCTGGCATTGGAGAACAGTGGGGTCACATCCTGCTCTCACCATCTGGCAACCAAGAGAGAAGCCTGGCCAGCTCTCCACTCCAGGTTCAGGGCAACCATCCTCAAAACATGCCGAGCTAAGTCAGTGCATTAAAGTGGATTTTCAAGAGAAGGGGGAAGAAGGAAGAGGAAGGAAAGCAAGAATGGAGTGAGAAGTATGAGAACAGGCCTACTTACGGTATAAAACGGCGGGGGAGGGTTGTGCCAGGCTTTCCTGTTTGCACCTCCCAGAGGGCAGCCAGGGTCTGGAAGGGACGCCGCCACCCTGGGCAGCGGTTGAAATCGATAGTGCTAATACCACTTCAGCCAGGAGAGGGCCCCAAATTTCAACTCAAATTTGAAAATCTCTAGATAATCTGGTCGGAGACCACACTCTTTTTCTACCTATCTACTGGCACAGAGTCTCCGGATGTAGTCCAGGTTGGCCTTGAACTCACAATCCTCTTGCCTCGGCCTCCCAAGTGCTGGAGTTACAGGTGTGTGCTATGACACCTGACAGAGACTTCACTTTTTTTTTTTTTTTCGTCTTTTTGAGGCAGGGTCTCACTATACGGTTCAGGCTGGCCTTGAGCTCACTTTGTAGCCCAGGCTGGTCTTGAACTCGCAGCGATCCTCCTGCCTCAGCCTCCTGAGTGCTGAGATTACAGGCATGCACCACCACGCCCAGCCGTGAGACTTCACTTTAAAACAGAGTAGTTACCCACCCCTGCAGAGCGTAGAAGGGACCAGAAGGATCATCGAGACCCGGAGGTCGGAAAGCGCTTCAAGGTCACAGGTTGCTTTGCGGATCCAAGCGTGGAGCCCCGGCTGGATAAGCGCTGCTGGATAAGAGACTCTACAGTCCAACTCTCCTTAGTCATCACTCAGCAGCAGCCACAGCTACAAACATCTGCTGAAAGCTCAATACTTTTAAAAGACAACCACTTCTTCAGTGCCTGGCACACACAAAGCCATGCACTGGGTAGGGTGTGGAGAGGGAAAGGTGGTGTCAAAGTCCACTGTCCTGAAGGCCTACGCAGATTTTTATTGGCTTAGCACAAACTAGGTACAGGAAAGTCAATTAACAATAAAAGTAAATAACAGCAGAGGCTGAGGGGTCATCATGCAGTGTATACTTAGTAACCAAATGAATGATTAGCAACTGCCATACATTTGTAGGGAGGAAGGGAGGGTTATACTGTGCCTGTGCTTAGCATTTAGTAATTTGTAGTTATTTCTCCTAAGTTGTCTTCTTGGGGTGGCCACCAAGGCCTTCCATGGGAGGGAAAAGAGGGCGGGCTCTGCACATGTGGATCTGATGCAATTTGTATGGACTCACAACCATGGAGACGCCCCACTACCCCTGTCCTAGAGAAGTCTCCAGTCCCCTCTGCTGGGGAGCCCAGGCCACTTGTGGTACTTGCGAGAATGGAAAATTGGAACCAAGAGACCCCCAGGGTTCAAGGACATGCGACATTCTAGATCTGCAAGCAGTGGGACCTGTGCTAAGGGTGCTCTTTGTACGAACTCCTCTCGCCCTGAATAGGCACACGGGCATGGTGGCGGGGAGCAGCAGCTTTTCCCGGACTCACTGGGTGTGCGGCAGCAGGCACCTCACTCACCTTCTCTTGGCCTCAGTTTACTCCTCAGAATAACCTCCTTGATCCTTTCCAGCGGGACAAATTCTTTGATTCTAAGTATTTTATAATCACCTGTCTGAAAAATCGAACTTTCGGGTATGAGTTTACATCTTTATTTTGGGTCCTCTTTTGCATCTTTATCCTAAACTTCTTTTTCATTTTCATAATTGCATTTTGTCATTTGAACTCACGTAATGTCCTAGGCTCAGAGCCACCTCTGAGTATAGAGATGGAGGTGGCAAATAGGGATTTAGTTCATCGCCTCCAGCACTGGCTCTCTGAGCTGGTGTCTCCAACACAGACCATCCTGTGCACCTACTGTGCGGCAGGCCCCCTGGGGATGTTTAAGGAACGATGCACAGGCCCTGTCTCCAAGGCAGCTTTGCCAGTGTCCACCATTGGGGGGGCTGCCAGGTGTGTGGGAGGCCCTCAGTAAGCATGCTGAATGGAGACGAATTCCTGAGGTACTGGTGGGAAAGCTGGACACGTACCCAGGGGAGGGACAGCCTGCACCACTTCATACTTGCTGGAAGACCTTTTCTCCCACAGGTGTAAATAACGTCTGCCCCACTGACCCCCGGAGCTCTTGGTACTCAGTTGCCCCTCCAGGGGAGGTAATTGCTGCGCAAAGGGGGGAGATGGGAGTATGCTCCAGTTGTGCTTAAAGGCCTGAATTCAAGAGTTCCCAGGCTATTCTTAAGCAGGGAAAAGGCCAACACCAGATAGGGGAACGGCTGCCATGTGGCTAGGATGCCAGGCAAGCGCCGGACCCGTTCTGCAGACTTCTCACACTGGGCTGCACGTTCAGTGTGGATCTGCGCAGGAGGGGTGGTGCGCGGAAAGTGGTGGTGCCGTCTCAAGAGAGCCCACTGTCCTGGTTCCACACGGGACCCAGGACGAATGAAGCCCCCATTTGCCATTTCCCTGCAACTGCCAAACACCAGCTCCCTCACCAGGGACTCCTTGGGCCTCATCGGTGCTTCGGGAATGCTTGGCCCTCTGCAGAGAGGGAGCTGCTGGCTGCCACAAGGAATGGATGGCACGTTGTATTTCAAACTCGCAGAAGACACTTGGGGCCGTGCTGGCACCATCCTAGGTTTGGAAGCACAACCTTCAGGGCCTATTCCAGGTCCACCTCCTGCCCCTTCATGGACAAGCCTGGCTCAGGAGGCGGTGCCTCCCCCCAGGGCCCCACCACCCCAGCATCCTGGCCATGTCACTTCTGCCGGGACTCCTGCATCCACAGGGTTTTCTCCCGTCCTCTCTAAGAGGGAAGCCCCTGGAGTCAGACCTCTCACCTCTGGACCTCTGCACCCATGTCATTACGCGGGCCATCTCTTGGTGCCATCTCACATGCCATCTTCCTCATGTGCCATCACAGGGTCCCCACACCCTTCCCCGAGAAGGCCAGAATATAGCGAGGCACTCTGTCCCAGGGAAATATGGGAGTCCAGCCTTAGGCTGACACAGGCCGCTGATGGGCGCGGGAGAAAATAAGGTCATAAAGCTCCTCGCCCCCTGTCAGATGTTCCCGTTTGCCCAGCCTCACAAAGCTTTGTTGTGACTGTGAAACAACTGGATTAGTTGTGAAAGCAGCTCCCCCCCCCCCCATCTGAGAGTGGTGTGGAAAACAATGTTGAGCGAGATGGGGGAAAGCTACACGGGTAGGGAGAACTGCGCTCCAAGCCCAGGGGCGGACACGCGGCTTGACGAGCCGGCTTCCAGACCAGGAGGGCGGTGAGGCAGGCTGAGCGGGAGCTACGGAAGAGCGGGCCCTAGCCCACCACACTTCCCACCGCGGTGCGCCCCCTTCCCAGCTCGCCCACCGAGGAGGGTTCCGGGGAGCCCTGGGCTCTCGGCGGCGCTGCTGTGCCACGTCGGTAACCTTGTCATCGGTAAAGGCTGTCACACGTTAGTCACACAGGCCCTGATCGATAGGGGATCGACCGGGCAAGGCTCGCGGGATCCCATTTCCGGGGACAATCAGCCCTTCGTGAACCGCCAGGGGCAGGCAGGGGGTGTCGAGAGCTGAAGGGTTTAAGGCCCACGTCCGCGAGGGGCCGTAGGTGGTAACCGCCGGTTAATAAACGACTTTTCATTAAGGAGATCTGGAGGACAGCAGCAGGGCTACATGAGGCGGCGACCAGAGGCTCGAATCCGTCCCCAGTCTGCGGCCGCTGTGGGCGCGCTCGGTTCCCTTCCCCGCGCCCCCTCCGGAGCCCGGTGGAGCTCTGCTCCCCGGCCGTGCTAGGCCTCTGGCTGCGCTCTCGGCCGGGTGGGGACCCCGGCCCTCGCGCCTGGCAGCACCCCTCCCCGCCGCCGCCCCCCGAGCAGAGGAAG